CCCCCCCCCCCTCCCCCCAAAATGCTGGCTACACCACTGTAGTGCAGCTACTTCTAAAAATCTACTGCATACTGAATACCTTGTTTTTCATTCTGCCAGTCCCTGCATTCTTTAAAACAGCATAACACAAGCACACATTTTATTTCCAAATATCATGTCAATATATCTATGTGCAACAATCTGCTGTCTGTAGGATCTCAAATCAAAGATGAATAGGCAATGGATTTCCCTGCCTGATTTCTCAAAAAGTGAACACCTCTGGTATGTACAAWTTTTGAATCTCTATTCATGTTATAACAGTGCAACTACTCTAACCAGGGCCACTGAATGCAATGCATTCAAACTTTGGGTAGTCGAGCCAATCAGAAACCTAGACTGTACAAGAATGGTTATTTGACCCTGAACAATTAGATAGCCATCGTCAGTTCCACATGAGAATAATAAGATATGTTAAAAGGCTTTTTTTTTTTTGCTGCTTGGCTCCGTTACCCAATGTTGTAGAGCAGTTTTCGTAATGACTGTGAAAAGCTCACGGCACGAACACGGACGTGACWCGGCAAGGCATACGCCAGACGAATCACATTGCGCGAGAATTTACTCTCCATTCAATCAAATGTCCGGAACATGGCAAAAACACGGCGCGGACACGGTCACGTCCATGAAACTGCCAAACCAATCACATTGCGCGAGGAAAAAAATCAGCCATTTAAAATTGTAAAAAAACGTCACGGCACGTAAAGCTTACAGCACTGAGCTTTACACAGTCATGCAAACAAGTTACTCTAATGTATTGATGGGTTGCAAGCATTCCCAAGAGAGTTAAAAGACAAAAACATGGCGGCCATTGTGGTACCGTTAACAATGGATGCTAATGAGAAATATGGTACCAACATAGCCGCGATCTCGTAACGTGCAAACGAAGAATTGTTTTCAATTTACAGTTTGATTCCGGTTCTTGCTTTCTAGGTGGCCCAAGTAAAAGTAGTTGTACTGTAAAAAATACTAGTACCTCAAAAAATGTTTGGGTTTCTTTCTAGGAAACACGAATGGGAGAGGCATGGCACGTGTGCTGCCTCTCTTCCTGCTGTGAGTAATGAACACGCGTACTTCCTCAAGGCCCTGACGCTGAATCTACACACCAATCTGCTGAAGTAAGGAAGATACAAATTAGACCATTTGCAACTAACAGTCACGTACCAAAGGTCCCTTGGGGAAGGCTCTGCTGGATGGCAAACAAACTTTAAAATGCTTCGTATCTTGAAATCGAAAGTATCTTATGAAGGCAAAAAAGTATTTTGGAAAAAGGTTTTGGATATGACATTAGTAATCCAGCAAAAGTTATTAAATAAGGGGAGTCTGATTTTTTTCATAGTTAATGGAGCGGAATGGTTGGAAACCTACTGTTCTAGGTTTTTTTGGACTTTATTCCATTATTATATGACGTTGACCGTGCACAGAGGAGGAAAAGTTGCTCCGTTTGTTCACAGTATTTGGGAATATAGAAGTTTCTTTCCCTAAAAAACTTCTTAAGATGGTTATTATTTGTTAATTAATCCTAATCTTTCTTATTTATCTTCTAGTAACTTAGCTGTATCTATGCGAAAATATTTATCCGCTTAGTTTGTGGTCATCGAATGAAAGCTTTCACTTTCAAAATGTTCATACATGAAAATAATAAGGAAATAAGTATTTTCAACATACTTACTTTGGTCCATTGTGCACAGTCAGTATCACGTGATGGTGCGGTTCAACCTCAAACGCAAAACAATACCTTTATTCTATGAGATTTCAAAACCATTCCGCTCCATTAACTATGATTTTTTTTGCCATCCAGTAATAGTCATGTGATTATTTCCTGCAAATGGCCTGTTGCAATCGAAAGCCTCTGGTACTTGGGATTGTGTACTGATTGTCTGGCGACTGTGAAAACCGCACAGCACGGCGTACATACGCGCCGTGTCGTGATGTTACCATTGGTTCAAGGATTTCGATCAATTTACACGCCTTGAGCCGTGAGGCATGCAGAGTCGTACTAAATCTACTCCGTACTTTAATGAGTGCAGATTTAAGATGAAGTCATCACCGTTGAACCAATCTCAGCAGGTGAGGGGTCATTGCTCTGCCAGTGAAATTGGTCAGACTCGGTACTGCACCACGCGTCATGGCAGGGAATTCATGACTACCTTTGAACCAATCGCTGCTGAGATCATTTGTTCAGCCAATGAAAATGCTCAGACGCTATACCGTCACGCTCACGGAAATGGCAATATTTTTCGAAACACTAATTTAGAGTTCACGCTTCCGATTTGACCTGTGTAATACAGCGTTTAAGTTCTGAAGTATTTCCGGGTCCAAAAACCACTAAGATGAAGCGAAAAATATTCGCAATGATTCAACCTCCACCTAAAACAATTAGACTCTTGACAATTAATCCTACCACGAAGAAAGAGTAGCACAAAATCTTTAATAGAACTACTTTTCATTTTGGACCCGTAATCCTATACGTTGTCTTTGTACTCGGAAAATACACGTTTATATTCTGTACTCTACTTTTGACTTGCAGTATGTTGGCTGACAAAGGACTTTCCCCAAGCGACGACAAAACCTACAAGGTAACCACGTGACTCGTGTACAAGAGCACCACTTTTAAGCACAAATTTTACAAGTACAGGTATCTCTAGAAAAATTAATAAACTCTAACTTGCCGCTAAGGAAAGTGTAATGATATATTTACTGTTCTCTGATGTTGGCTTGAGGCAGTTTTGTCGATTGTTAGCTACCCATTCTCCTCTTCCATCGCAATAGCAGAGAGCACTCGCATTGAAACTGGACTATCTGTGGTTAACTTGATTATCCTTTAGGTGGAAGAATTTGAAGACGCGATAATGAAGGAATATGGTGTAAAAGGTCGAGTCATTTGTGTGAAGGATAGGGTAAGCCACAATTTATCTGCGTATAATTAACGGTTAACTTGATTATCCTTTAGGTGGAAGAATTTGAAGACGCGATAATGAAGGAATATGGTGTAAAAGGTCGAGTCATTTGTGTGAAGGATAGGGTAAGCCACAATTTATCTGCGTATAATTTTGTGTTTTATCTCATGAAACGGAAACCCGGACATTGTTTTTAGCCTACGACCAAAAGGAACACGGGCTCTAGAGTGTTAGTTACGCATGCGCATTAAGTGCGGCAGTGCTCTGGAGTACAATATAAATAAATAATCTTGTTTTACGAGGGTAGCAGTACTTAATAGCCAGTAGTTAACAAAAAAAAGTTTAAAGTTTAATTTGGCGGGGGAAGGAAAACCCTCGAAGCACAGGAGAGAATCAATAAGCTACTCTACTTACATACGACGTGGTGTATACGGGGATCAATACTGTGACCACTACGGGTTAAGGTCGAGAATGTGTCGTGTTTGACCAGTCCTTCCTTGATTTGTTCCTTATAGGGTGATGATCAATACATTGGTGGTATTCGCATCTGTTTCAACAAGACGTTTAGTCCTTTTGAATGCCTCGTAACTAAACCAGAGGAATGTCGCAAAGGAAAGGATTTGAAATACCCTGTCATTATTCGTGCCTAGTCAGTTAAAGCTTAAAGTTCCTTCTGAATGAATTTTGTACTTTTTTTTCTTAACGAAGCATGTGAATAGCCGCCATGTTGGTTGACTCGAACATAGACTTTGGCCTTGGTTTCATAACAGTGTCAACCAACATGGCGGCCATGTCTTTTGTCACTGCACATGTGACGTCATAGCCGCCATGTTACTCGAACATAGACTTTGGCCTTGGTTTCATAACAGTGTCAACCAACATGGCGGCCATGTCTTTTGTCACTGCACATGTGACGTCATAGCCGCCATGTTGGTTGACTTTTGTCTTTGTT